GCAACCAGTCAATGTGTCTCTCTCACATGGATGTTTCTCTCTCTCCCCCTTCCACTCACTCTGAAAAAGCAATGGACAAAATATCCTCTGGTGAAGATTAAAAAAAAGATTGTAGCTAATATGGTGGTGATTTTGATCATTTAAGTTTTGAGGGATTTAAATCCCCCCCCCAGTTTCTGATGTTTGGAAAAATTCTGGGGCTCAGACCCCAGTCCAGACCTGCTAAATCTGAATGCCTGGCCGTGGGGTCCAGGTTATTGTTATAAATCCAAAGATTTAGGAACACTATTTTAACAGAATGGTTTGATCACTATTTTCACACTACTGTTTTTAGTGGTGACATTTTTTCCCTCTTCCTTGCAGTTATTTTTGAAGAAGAGAGGAGTTGGGGCAGTGACCAGTGAAGTTTCAGTTATTAAAGTGACCTGAACTTCTGCTTTAAAGAATTTTTTTTTCAATTACAGTTGACATTCAATATTATTTTATATTAGTTTCAGGTGTACAGCATATTGGTTAGACACTTATATAATTTATGAAGTGATGCCCTGATAAGTCTATTACTCCTGGTACCATACATAGTTATTACAATATTATTGACTGTAATTCTCCACTTTGTTAATGCAGAGACATCTTACATAAAACCAATTTTCTGCGCCTTGTTATTTTAGTTCATTGAAGATTATACTTCACATAGGTGTAAAGTGTTTAGCACAAATCTAGCTAATAATTAATTAAAATATTGTTCTGTGCTTTTGGAGGGGAAAGTGATTAGGTTAATGAGAAAATGTGTACTTTTGATTTACAAATCCTATTTTAAAACATTAAAATTATTATCAGTCATACCTGTTGAAAATACTTCCCCTCATTTTAGATTAGATTTTTTTCAGTTTGTATACCATGTAAAACTTAAAATTTGTATGTATTCAGATAGACAGTTTTTTCTTTATCATTTTTTACTTTTGTCAGTCATAGAAAAACTTTCTAACCACAGGGAGTTTTCCCCCCAGTTTTTTTTTTTTACGTTTAAATTTTTAATCCATTTTGGGGGGTTTGGGGGATGAAGGGAGTACAGTGTGATGCTAACTTATTTTTGAGATGGTTAGATAATATTAATACTGTTTAGTGCCATTTGTGTGTAAGCAGTCCTTTCCCCATCTCCTGAGTATTCATGAAATTTAGAGATTTAAGAAAAAAGAAACTAGAAATTAATTGAAGTTGTCTGGAGACAATTTTTAGTTGAAAATGAGTGACACAGGCTCTGATCTTCAAATAATGGTTCTCTGTCAGTATCACGGGCATGGTCTCCTTTACCAGGGCACAGCCACAGTGCAGGTATCTGCACCTGGCGGTTGCACTGTTGGCTTGTGGCGCCTGGTTCATGCTTCCACAGTCTCATGCTGGATATGCCTGGACATATCCCTGACTCTGTAAGTTGTGCATGGTTTTCATGAAAGCCTCGTGGACATTTTGATGTGAAAAATACCTTTTTTCAGTTTAATTTAAAAGTATTAAAGACCTTCTGGTATCATTTAAGTAAACTTAAAGTTTTTTCCCCTCTTGTAAAAAAAAAAATTATCTTTATTGTTGAAAGTATTACAGATGTCCCCTTTTTTTCTCCCCATTGATCCCCTCTATCCCACATCCACCCCACCCCCAGACGTCCCCCATACTATTGTCTTGCGTCCATGGGTTATGTATTTATGCATGTAAGTTCTTTGATTAATCTCTCCTCACCCCCATAAACTTAAAATTTTTAAAGAAAATTTTGTATGTAAGTTTTTTAAAGAAAACAAGTTTGAGAACTGATATTGTGAGCATTGTGTTAAATGCTCACTTTAATCTAGAGCATGAAATGTCTCAATTTTTGAAACTTTTTTCAAGTACTGACATTTTGGGGAATTTTATTTTTGGTCTTTTTTTTTTAATGTTTGAAATATAAGTTCACAGGGAGTTGCTGAGATAACCCATGTTCACTCAGTTTCCCTCAGTAGTAAAGTCTTACATGAGCATGGTGCAATACCACTATATCTGGAATATAAACATATCAATATAGTGCAATATAACCCCAGAATTTGACATTGTACAATCCAAGATCAGTTTTCAGATATTACTAGTTTTACGTGCACTCATTTGTATGTGTAGTTTTATGCAATTTTTTTACAGATGTAAATTCATGTAACCACCCCACAATCAGGATACAGAACTGTTTTATCACACAAAGATCCTTTGTTCTACTCCTGATCAGTTTGCTTATGAACAGGCCATCTAGAGCTAGAAACTTTAAGCCATATGACAGTTGAGGATGATCCACAGTAAAGTTTTATTTCATTTTGATCCACAATGAAAAACTGCATTTATTATGGACTTGTCTGACTTTGGATGTCACTATTTATTAAAGACATACCCACTTAGCTTACAGTTTTGCCTCATTAAAAGTATTTAATAGAGTTACTACCTCTTTGTTATGGACCTAATATTCCATTTCCAATAGTTTTAAGGAATAAAAACAAAAGCAGTTAATAACCAGAACTTGGATAAACTACCTTTACTTTTCCAGTATTTTTAAGCTTTATTATTTTTTTCTGGCCTGAAAGTACAAGTGCTATCTGTCTCCAGATTAGTTGCTTTCCCTAATTTATTGCTTGTAGTAACAGTCACTGCATGTAATGAGTTTCTACTCTGTATCTTAATTTTTAAAATCAATTTTTAATAAGAATATAAATTTAGGCAATAAGACTTTATGCCACCTTTTGCCTGCAGCACCTCAGTGTTTTATGATTAAAAAAAAAATAGTAGCTTGTGTAGTCACTAATGCTTATGTTTTATATTTCCATTAAAGAAAGATGGAAAAACATCCTTCTGTAACTGTTTTCTGACATTAAGTTATAGTTGAGAAACTTATCTGAAACTTGACTTTTTTGCTGCAGTTTCATCTGCATTAATCACTTTACAGTGATTACATGATCTAGCAATTCCACTTGTAGGTATACCTCAAGAGAATTGCAAACATGTTCACAGAAAAATTGTGCATGAATAGTCATAACAGCATTATATATAATAGTCAAAAGTTGCAAAACAACCCAAATGCCTATAACCTGATGAATGGATAAACAAAATGTATATCCACCCATAAAATGGAATATTATTTTGCCATAAAAAGGAATGAAGTGTACTGATAAGTGCTACAGTGAATGAACCTTGAAAATATGGCAAGTGAAAGAAGTCAGACTCCAAAGGCCACATATTATTATGATTTCATTTATGTGAAATGCCCGTAACAGGTAAAATCTGTGGATACAGAAAATAATTCCTGGTTGCCTAGAGCTGAGGGATCGAGGATTGCAAGTTGAAGCAGAAATAAATGGTATTATTACATAATTTCAAGCAGTGATTTTTATAGAAAAATTTAATTAGGGAATAATTTTCTTTGAGAGTTCATTATCCATTTCCATTTTCCACCTTTGTGAGGTTTGACATGGGGAGATAGAATAACCAGCTTAGTTATTTCCTTCCTGGAACAAAGGTACACTTTAGGATTGATTATCAGTAAATTGTGGATTTGCTGAAAGAAAGTGGTGATAATGTCAATCTGAAAGATGGAGATACCTGTTTGAACAGGTTCATTGTGAGGCTTAAATGGATGTGAAAGCCCTTGAATCTGAAAAAAACTCAGTGTTAGTTGTTACCACTACCAGTGAGCCTGTCTCTAGTATGAAAAGCAAGACTTAAAAAAATACATAACCATGTTGGAGGCGGGGGACAAACATAAATTTCCTGGTCAAATTGTATGTTTCACTGGTCTGCACAGAGTTTCTTTTCTTTTTCTGATTTATCAACCATTTAAATTAAGATATGTAACATTTTTTTGTCTTGTTTGAAAATGGTGTCCCTTTAAAGGAAAGTCAGATTACAATGTACCTTTTTCCCATGATTTTAAAATTTTGACTTTGAACTTTATTATGCAGAAATGTACAGAATTACTTAGGCAGCATTTTAAAAACCAGCAGTGCCTAACCCTGTTCTCAGAGATTGATTTAATAGGTCTGGTGTGGGGCATTGGCATTTGTGAGAGGTATGATCAGAGATCTTTGCAAATCTGAAATTACATAGACCTTTCGTTGTAAGAACAGTGACTTATAATTGAATCTATTAAGAGAAAACAAAGCTACACGGTGATGGGATATGAGGTGACCTGAGTTAATACTTGCTTAATTTAATACCCAGGTCTCCACTATAGCGAATTTCAAGCTAGACTATTTTGAAAAAGAGTTAACAATGGAAAACATACTTTTTGTAATGTGAGGCATTGTTTTGTTTTTTTTCCAACCTGCAATTGAAGGAGAAAGAACACATTTAATTCTCCATTTTAGCTTGTGTAATATAGCGAAACTGACATAATGTAGATAATGAAACTGAACCATGAATATCAGCAGGATTTCTTATTTTTTCAATTTGAAACACCATATAAGTAGCTTTGATTGAGGATTAATTTGAAAACATTTAAATTTCCTCTCGCCTTTTCATTAGCATTTGTGGCATTTTAATTTTGCTTTAGGATAAGCAAATATTTTGTTTTGCTGAAATGGAATTTATTCTAAGGGGAATATGTGTAGTCCGTGAAGGAAAATTTTAGATGCACTCTTGTATTTTCTTTGTCATGTGAGGAGGGGATATTATTTTATTTTTATTACTATTATTATTTTTTAATATATCTTTATTGATTTCAGAGAGAGGAAAGGAGCGGGAGAGAGAGAGATAGAAACATCAATGATGAGAGAGTCATTGATCGGCTGCCTCCTGCACGCCCCCACTGAGGATTGAACCCCAATTGGCTGGATCCTAGGTTGACACTCAGCTGCTGAGTCACGCCTGGCCGGCTGGGGATTTTAATACATTAGGAGAGTTCCTGACTAAGAAACTGGTTTCTAGTCTGTAGTATATTCTACCCTAAGGTTTTAAAGTTATATTTAAAATAATAATACCCTAAGTAATAGAGACATCAATTTTCAAAAATCCTCAGGTTACCTTAGCAATATTGAATTTGCAAAATTGGATTTACAGTTTTATTGCTGTAAAATAGGACAGTAAGTTATTATGTTATCGAGTAAATTCCTTGTTAGTTTTAAACTGAAATATTCACATAGGACTCTATTTCTGTCTTACTCTGTTAGGTGTAAAGATTTCTCTCTGTGTTACTGGAATCCCTATTGGATGCTGCCCTCTGATGTTTGTGGAATGAACTGCTTTTGGGAAGCGGCTTTTAGGTAGGCACTTAATATTTAATTGGTAGATCAGTCAGTGTAGGTAAGATTAGATAGTAGATACATTTTTAATAATAAATAGGATGTAAAATGTTTTTTTCTATAATATAATATTATCATACAATTATTTATTTTCTGATTTTTCTACTTTTCCCCCCACTTTGTAGTTATTACTGATTTTTAGTACATACTGCAAATAAAATGCTCTAACTTTTTTTTTAGATGTTATTATGATAAATAAACCATTGTTCTTAGAATTTATGACCTAACTTTTGTTAATGTGATAAAGTGGTAAACAGGTGGTTTAAGGTAGACTTCCACTGACACAGACATATGTACATATATATGACGTTTATTTAATTTAAAGCTGGTATACTGAAAACACCATTTTACAGGTGCATGGGGAGACCCGAGCAAGGACTGTGTTGGCTCTTAGTAGAGGGATTGAATATTGGGGAGTGGGAGAAGAGAGAGGAGGGTTTAACAAAGGACCAAATGGCATGGCATTGTTTACTGAATAGTTCGGCTTTGTTCACTTCTCTGTATCAGGAAGGCTTTGGATTGGCTGACAGCTCAGGTCCCCTTCCTGCCTTACTTTCAGTGAAAGAAACTAGTATGGGTAGGAATAGGACCTCAGCCTGTCTCCCTGAGATAGTGGCAGGGGAGAGTGAGGCAGTAGCCTGAAACGCCCTTCCCAAAAGTAAAATTTCTTTGAGAAGTCACCTACTTTTACTGTGTCTTGTGATTCATTTAAATTTTAATTTTACTCATTCAGTTTGCCAGGCACAGTGCTAAGTACTAAGAACCAGACCGTGAGTCTGGTTAATGTGGCGCCATCCTTCTGGGGCTTACATTCAGACTCGATCTTCACACTGGTAAACCTCAGATTGCAATAGAGGGTGATATATTGTAGCTCTGACTATGGGAGAAACAGATGAGTCATCTGGTGGGATCACCTTAAGGCATCACGGAAGTCTTCCTGGAGGGAGCAACTGAATGAAGAACAGGCTCAAGGATAGGAGGTTGTCTAGGTGGGAAGAACTAGTGCATATTAAAAATATGTATCAGTAGCATGTATTTTAAAATTCTTGTATTCCCTATACATTATGTGTTTCATGAACTACTGGGAGGGAATCGTTGAAATCAGATATTTTAATTATATCTTGTTGCTATGGGAAAGATGGAATGATTAAAATTCTAACAGGGATCAGTCAAGTCAGATTATTCAGACTTTTAAAAATGATCTTACCCTATTGATGGGTAATCTTGCTCTTCAGCTTGTTAATAATTTTGGAGAATTGGGGCTGCATATTTTTATTCTTATAAAAGTTTGCTAATGAATAGAGCCTTGACAAGCACCACTTTGCTGTCTCCAGCCTTGTGACATAAATCTCCTCACTCTCAAAGCTGGGTAAGTTTGAAAACTTTCTTATACTCTAATTTATACAACCCAGACCCTTTTGTAAGTTATGGCATGAGTAATAATCTCCCCTCCTCAACGGCAAGAGTAGCCCAGGGAAGTCGCCTAGTCTGAATCCTGGAGCATCTGCTTATTACTCCTTTTGTTTTGGCTTCTCCAGCTCATTATTTTCTTAATGCTCCTAAATAGTCCATGGAAGGAATTACATGTGGATGAATACATAGTGTTTACCCTTGTGCTCGTTACTCTCCTGAATTTGAAGTTTTATTTATTTAAAAAAAAATATTTATCTTTATTGATTTCAGAGAGAGAGAGATAGAAATGTCAGTGATGAGAGTCATTGATCAGCTGCCTCCTGCACACCCCTGACTGGGGGTCAAGCCCAAAACCCAGGCATGTGCCCCGACCGGGAATCGAACCGAAGTCTCCTGGAGCCTAGGTTGATGCTCAACCGCTGAGCCATGCCTGGCTGGGCCCAAATTTGAGGTTTTAAAGGTTGTACTTCTGTTATACTCTCTACTTGTAATATTGAATCCACAGTATATATCTGTAATCATTTTGTTTCTTACTTAGAACTTAGGATCCCTCACATTTACATGCAGTCAAGCCAGAATGCCATATAATTGCCATGTTATTCTCCCTCCACGTCAGAATTTACTCTAAGTAATTCCTCATTATCCCCTGACTCTTTAAGAGCTTATCTCGTCTGCCTACCTCCTTACTTCAAAGGAGCAAAGCATCTTTGAAATTCCCTTTACTGTCCTCTTAGGTCTTGCATTTTGCCTGGCTCCAGTGGGCACTAACTGGTACCATTTTCTTCTTCCCAGGCCTATCCCTGCTATTCCGATTTGAATTCTTTATATAATTTTATGTTGATTAAAGCTTATGTGGGGGGATTATTTTCTCCCAATCAATTTATTATACAATAAACATAAAATAACATAAAAAAGAAAAATTGCCTCAACACCCATCAACAGTGTTTTCACCATCGATAAGTAAGCATATCCTTTTAGTAATTGTTCCTGCATCTGCTGCTGAGTCACCTACTTGACCAACTGCTTCCCGGCAGCTTGTCAGAATAATCACACCTCTTCTGTTTCTTCTGTCCTTAAAACCAAACACAAAATCCCTGCAATACCTTGCTTCAACCCTTTTTTCCTTCAAGTATTCTTACTCTCTTTCCCTTCATCAGCAAACTTATAAGAGTTTCTACTGGCTTTACTTCAGTAAATAAGCTGACCAACCCTTCACACCTCAATCCACAATGAGCAGTGTCTGCCTCTCATTGAAGTCACCCCGGCCTCTGTATTGTTCTTCTGGACCTAATCTTACACTTGTCCGTTTGACACTGGTTACCACTTCCTCTTTCTTTCTGCTCTGCCAGCCTCCGGCTCTGGAGACTACTGTCCTTAACTCTGATCTCTCTGCTCCCAGACGACTTTCTCTATTTCTGACTCCTGAGCTTTGAAGTTCCTTAGGACTCTGCTCTTTTCTCTCCCCACTGAGGATAACCTGTTTAACTGGTATAGCTTGTGCAGATCTCTTTTCTGAGCTCCAGAACTGTATGTCCAGCTGCATATTGGTCATTTTACCTAGCCGATTCAGCTGCCTCAGACACTCTTGTTCAGACCTGAACTCATAGTCTAGTTCCTCACACTTTCCCTCATCCGTAGTTTATATCTTGGTTCATGACTGACTTTCCACATCAATCCACAGTGACTCTTCTACCCAGCTCCTTCCACAGTTGTTCCTGACTGCCTCTTCCTTCCTATTGCCTTGACTACAGTGCTTATTACTTCTTATCCAGCTAGTGCGATCTCCTTCCCTGCCCACTGCTCCTGCCTTTTCTGTATCCCCTGTATTACTGCACCTATTGCATCTATTGTGGTTCTGAATCTACTTCTAGACTGTTGACTTTACAGATAGATACCACGTGGCATTCATCATGTAAGCCCCATGCCCAGGAAGGTGCTTGCCAAACAGTAAATAACTAATATTTTCCCCCCGCACTTTCAGACTAGTGTACATGTTTGTGTAGTAAGCTTCCTAAGCAATCTTAATTTTTTACTCTAGAACAGTTCCTCAGCCTTTTGGAGTAGGTGGGTGAGTGGGTGCTATCCTTCATGACTTGATGTTTTTGTTTTGTTTTGTAGAATATCCCTTTATTTCGATTGGCCTGTCTCATGGCTAGTTTCAGGATTTTTGGCAGGAATACTGCATAGTAGATATTGTGCTCCTCTTTGGGCCTGCTCTCAGGAGGCCTCTGATGTCATAAGTTTAACATTGGTTAAGTTTGATCATGTGGTTAAGGTGGTGATGTTAACATTTCTACACTTGCAACAGTGTCTTTATCCCCTTTGTTACTTCCGGGGATAATACTTTGATACTCAGTGGTCTTAGCATCCATTAATTATTCTTGTTTAAATCGTCTATTATAATGGTGATTGCAAAATGGTGATTTTTGTAATTCTGTTATTCTTTCTACATTTATCAGTTGGTACTCATTTATTTATATATATGTATACACACACACACACTTTTAAATATGTGTTTATTGATTTCAGAGAGAGGACAGGAGAGGGAGAGAGAGAGAGAAACATCAATGATGAGAGAGTCATTGATCGGCCGCCTCCTGCATGGCCCCTGCTGGGGATTGAGCTTGTAACCTGGGCATGTCCCTGACCTGAATTGAACCGTGACTTCCAGGTCCTGGAGTCAATGCTCACCCACTGAGCCATGCTGGCAGGGTGGTGCTGGTTTTTAAAGAAGAGTTCCACCTCCCCCTTATCCTTTTATTTAGCATCATTGTAGACTCATGGATTCATTTTTAAATCTAATGTGTTGCTGTGCATTTTTCTCATAGTTCCTGTTCATGCTCAGGTTTTGCCAAATTTAGCCATGCCAGCCCTCAGGTGTTATCTTTGAATTATCTGAGATCTTTCCTCTAATCACGTATCTGTGGAAAATAGGTTTGGCTTAAAAATGTCCTTTTGGACAACATTTCTTTATCCCACAGGGCCTTTTCTCTTATTTACCCTGATTAAAACATAGCACACTTTTACAGAGCCTGATAAGATTACACCACTCAGTTGTGACCAACATTACTTGAATGGCAGTTTCCCTGTCATTTCTTAGAGGTTTTAGTTTCCGCTCCCCATAGAGTAAAAGCTTACTTTAGATATTTCTTCCACTTGGAATTATTTCCTGTCCTTGAGGTCTAGGGACAGGGTGATGGGCAGAGACATGTAAAAGTGTTTCATGTTGTCAGCTTAGATATTGAGTCTATACTGTGTATAGTGCTTTTGCTAAAAAGGATTACACACAACAGAAAAGCAGATGCAATGTAGCTGATGGTACTCCTTCCGTAGAAATTGGTGGAAGGAGTGGGGACAGTGTGACTGAAACCAGCCTTGCTAAAGTGCCTGGGAGGAGTCCCTGGGACTGATTTTAGAGGGCTTTTTTTTCTTGAACATTTAACTTATTTTTCTTAAAAAGGTTTGTTAATATTTCTTGTCATTGTGTGTAGAGAATGCTGTGCTAAACGACACATGACTATTATGGCTTACTTTTAAAATCTCTTGGCTTTTAGCTTTGGGGCAGGATCTAGTTGAGGCCAATTAAGCAATCCGAGCCCTTTATAGATTCTCAAGTCTTGCTTGGTACTTTAATGAGGGCCTTTATGCCATCATGAGAAGTGGGATCTGGAGGCATTTGCTGGAAAGATGAGATAATTAGAGCTCTGTGAAATTGTGTGTCTTCACTGCCTTATCTTTTGTTGTGTCCTTTGTGCTTTGAGATGAACTAGGTTCCCGCCCCCTTATTATAGGTATAGAAGCGTAGGTAACTAGTCTTGAATATTAGAAACTGAGGGGCCCAACAGAAAAGAGGGGAGCTGATAGAAGGTGCAGACAGGGAGGAGGTGCTGCTTCTTTCTGTTGCTGTCAGTGGAAAAGAACAGAGCCCAAAAGACCCGAGCTTATGTTAACACCGATTTGTGAAAGAAGTGGCAAAGCGGGTGGGCAGAGAGAGGGTCAACTGGCAACTGTAACAGAGGTGCTGCACAGTTGGATAGCCATGTGCAAAACTATGTGATTGTCCCCTACCTCAAACCTTCATAAAATTCATTCCTGGTAGATCAATCTAAATTTTAAAAACAAAGTATGTACCTAATATTATCTTAATTAATTAGTTATTATTATTTTTAATCTTCACCCAGGGATATTTTTTCCATAGTTTTTCATGGGTGGGGCAAGAGAAAAACATCGATGTGAGAGAGACACGTCAATTGATTGCCTCCCACACGTACTCTAACTGGGGCCTAGCCTGCAACCAAGGTATGTGCCCTTGGCCAGAATGGAACCCAGANTGAGAGAGACACGTCAATTGATTGCCTCCCACACGTACTCTAACTGGGGCCTAGCCTGCAACCAAGGTATGTGCCCTTGGCCGGAATGGAACCCAGAACCCTTCAGTCCACGGACCGACGCTCTAACCACTGAGCCAAACCAGCCAGAGCTATTATAAACATTTTTATTTTTATATATCTTTATTGATTTCAGAGAGAGGAAGGGAGAGGGAGAGAGAGAGATAGAAACATCAATGATGAGAGAATCATTGATCGGCTGCAGCCCGCAACCCAGGCATGTGCCCTCACCAGGAATCGAACCCTGATCTCCTGGATCCTAGGTTGACTCTCAACCGCTGAGCCATGCCCGGCTGAGCAGGGGCTATTATATCTTAATTTAATGATGATCTTAATACCTGGGCAAAGAATATCACCACTGCTTCTGGAATAGCAAAAATAATTCTTGCAAGGACACCATTTTACATGTGACTTCTCCATTCAACGCTATTTAAGTAATATTGAACTTTATGAATTATCTAGGGAAGAGTTTTATTTTCCTTAAAAAAACACATACAAGTTTTAAAATAACCTCATCTAATATATCTTTATTGATTTCAGAGCGAGAGGAAAGGAGAGGGAGAGAGAGAAAGAGAGAGAGAGAAACATCAATGATGAGTCATTGATCGGCTGCCTAGCCCGCAACCCGGGCATGTGCCCTGACCAGGAATCGAACCCCGATTGCCTGGATCCTAGGTCGACGCGACGCTCAACCGCTGAGCCATGCCTGGCCAGGCAAGAACCTGATCTATAGAATAATTGGCCCATTACAGTACCTGAACAAAAGGGGAGCTATCAAGGAAGGCATTGAGGAGTGTAAGTTTCAGCCTCCCAGTAAAGGGATCAGGGAAGGAAATGATCCTTTTGTTTTCTAGGAGATGAGTAATTTGGCTGAAGAGCTTTTCTGCTCCTCTGCTGAAAGAAGGCTCACAGTTACCAGTAATTGTGTATGTGAGATATCCCAATGTAAGCAGAACGAACCCATTTTCAGGCCCAAAGAACCTAGTCAGACCAGAAAAGCAGCAGTTTTAACCACTGTCTTAAAAATCTCCAGGCCCTTAGCAAAACAAGCTTGTTAGTAGGAAGGGATATATCACAGTAAAAGCAGGATTCAGACTTAATTTTCTATCCTATTACTGTGAAAAATTCCAAATGTTTAATGTCACAACATTAAGATGTATGAATTTGATATTCAAGTGTGTTTTTTATATATAGTCAGTTGCTTTAAGAGAAATGATTAATTACCCATCCCTGCTATTGCAAATCTGTTATGTATGCATACAACTGATAATGTTAAACACTATAATTTCTAATTGTTATACATCTTACGGAAAGGATCTTTGTAAGCAAAAATTGAGTTAAAGCCAAATTTTTATATTTTTAGTTTGGAATGTTTGTACTTTATAATACTTTAATGTATTACTAGTTTTGTTTTCCTTTGTCTTCCATTCTTACATTACGTTGCTGTCAATTTCAAAAAGATTGTTTTATGCCATAATTACAGATGGGATCTATATATTATAAATATGTTATTTTATTTGATAACAATACAGTCACACATAATTAGTTCCATTCTTTAGGTATTGGTGGATTATTATTAGTTCAGTTAAGGGGCAAGAGGTTTGAAATAGGCCTGATACTGTTTACTGCTGCTCTGTGTTAGAAGTAGGGTCTAACATAGCCTATGCCAATAACTTGGGTTTAGGGACTCTCTCCTTCCAAGATGCAGTACTAGTGTTTTTGACTTGTATGTTTCAGACCACCTCAGAAATTTTTACTACTCTCTGATTACTTGGTAAATGGGACTGAATGTTACGTCATTGAGAAAAGTTACGGGAAGGAAACTTTTCTTGTAATCAGCATGGGTGAAGATTGGATGTGATATTGAAATATTTATGGGTGAATTTATGTCTGTGTTTGCTTCCAAATGATTCATTGGTTAGTGAAAGGGATGTGGGCAGAGGTTTTAGATAAAATAAGAATAATTTTGAATGGATGATTGTTGCAGCTGGGAGATGGGTAACATGGAGATCTTTAGTTGTATTCTTTCTACTTTTATGTGTGTTTGAGATATTTTTTAAAAAATAAAAAAGCTTTAAAAATTGAATGGAAGATATTCAAATTGGTGGTGCTCCCCTTCTCAATTAGGGGGGGTTCCTTGAGAGAATTAAGCCCTAATGCCCTAAGGCATGCAGTGTGAGTAATGAATGAATGAACTTCTTTCCTGTGCATCGAGAATGGTGTTAATTATGTACCACTCTTGGGAAAACTGAGAAAGTAAGTAGGCTTTTTATTTTATTTGTATTTTATGATTCCTAGAGAGGAACGTTGACCAAGAAAGGCCAGTTGAGGGTATAGAAATACATGATTGAGTCAACATTGTACTGTTCTGTAATTTGACGTTTCTTTGCTTTTTAAATGGAAGTTTCAAACTTCAGTTTTTGAACATGGTCAGAATGCCTTGTTGTTAACAGGTTAACCCTTTACTAAAACTGTGAAAATGTGGTTTTCTTTTTTATTAGGTATAGTGTGAAAATACAGCCGGTTGAGAGAATGCACCTAGCTGTAGTTGCCTGTGGTGAAAGACTGGAAGAAACTGTAACTATGTTGAAGTCAGCGATCATTTTCAGCATCAAACCTCTTCAGTTCCATATTTTTGCTGAAGATCAACTACATGATAGTTTTAAAGGCATAGTAAGTATTTGAAACTTAAGTCTGTAGAGTTGACTATTTAATGGTTTATTATAGTAGAATGTTGTTTTACTCCTTCTTTGAACAAAAATATTTATTCCTTAACCCTGGCCTGCTAGAGGGGAGTGTTTCCTGCTCCCACTTCCATCTAAGAGTCCAGATCTAGGGTGTAAGAGGAAGGTTTGTTTTGAAAAGGAGGTGGCTACTTAAAGTCCTTTGCCAATCATGGAGGTTTTAATTTACTGACTATAGTTTCAGGATGTTTGCCTGAGAAGTCCTATGATTTAATTTTGTTCTTACCCTTGGCTTGGAAGTGCCTCGGTCAGAGTATGCACAAAGGATTTAATTCTTTTCTGAGGAGAGGAAACTCTTGATTGACAGTATGGAGGGAAGTGGCTTCTTGCTCTGATAAGAAATTTCTTTATTTTGGATTTATATTAGTTACAGTCAGTTTGGCTGTAATGGCAGAAAACGCAAAATAACCTATCTTAATCTAGATAGACGTTTATTTCTCTCTCATGAAAGTAGGCAGTCTGCAGTATATATGGTAGCTCTGCTTCTTTTGGACTCTGGCTTCTTCTCTCTTGTGGCTGAGCCTCCTTTAACCTAAGGGTTCTACCTCATGACCCAAGATAGCTGCTGAAGCTCCAGCTTTCACATTCATATTCTAGCCAACATGAGGGAGGAAGTAGTGAAGAGGGCAGTCCTTCCCAGTAAGGACACTTTCCAGAAGTTGCACATGACATTCCTGCCAGTGTCTCATTGGCCTGAACTTATTAATGTGACCATACCTAGCTTTTTGTGAGGATTGAAAATATCTTGAATCATGGCAGCTATGTAACCTCCTTAACAAGCAAACAAACAAATTACTATGCAAGAAGAAAACAGATAGATATAGGAGGGAAAACATACAAGAAAAAGAAAATTCACCTGAAATCTTACCTGTGCTCTGCGATGGTGCTATGATGATGATGATGATGATCCAACCTCCCTGCACCTACAATGAATTAAGCTTTCCAGATTGATTTGGATTATTATGCTTGGTCTAACTATGTAGGAAAAAAAGTATTTTTTTTTTAAGTTACATTTTACACATTGAGTGAAAAATACTTGTGATCTCAATTCTTTTAGTTTTCTCTCAAAATCTTTGATTCCAAGAGGTATAAAGCTTTAGTTACTCTTTAAAAAGATTTCTAGTATCTATATTTTTGATACGAGCTTTTGTGATCTTGATCTCTTTATCTGGATTGTTTTCTAAAATATTAATTGAGGAATTAATCTTATCCTAGCAGTTCAGAGAATAGCAACAGATTACTACCAACTGTGGAAACCTTTGAAAATGTAATGAAAAAATAAAATAAATGTATTGCTTTATTTTATATGCAGCCTTTTTGTTGTGTTCAGATCTGGCTGAGTTATTGTTTGTGTAATACTAAATTTTAAACTTAGTTTTTCTTTAATTAGTTCTGAGAATGTTTGGTTTTGCTTTTGATGAAAGGTATGGAATATTTTGTGGAACTTTTTTTTTTTTTAATATATCTTTATTGATTTCAGAGATAGGAAAGGAGAGGGAGAGAGAGAGAGAGATAGAAACATCAATGATGAGAGAGTCACTGATCGGCTGCCTCCTGCACGCCCCCAACTGGGGATTGAGCCCGCAACCCAGGCATGTGCCCTTACCGGGAATCAAACCCCAATCGCCTGGATCCTAGGTCGACGCTCAACCATTAAGCCACACACGGCCGGGCATGGAACATGATTTTACTGTAGAAAAATATTAAATATTAGACAACTAAATATTAGAATGTTAAATAAAAAAATGACCAAGAGCCCTGGCCAGTATGACTCGGTTGGAGCATTGTCCTGTACACTGAAAGGTGGCAGGTTCGATTCCCAGTTAGGGCACATACCCAGGTTGTGGGTTTGATCCCCAGGCTGGGCGAGCATGGGAGGCAACCAATCCATGTTTCTCTCTCTCTCTACCCCCCTTCTCTCTAAAATCAATTAAACATTTTTTTTTTAAATGACTAAGATTTCATTTTGAAATTGGTATTAAGAGGATCCATATAGGTTGCTCAATGAAAATAAGATGCTAATGTTTTGAACTAATTAACAGAGACATCAAACTAGAGTGTTGGAAGTAAAGATTCCCTTAAGCTATATTGGAAAACATTGTTTTAAAAAATTACTTGAACACAGTCATTATTCAAAAAGAGAATATCCTCAGCATGTTGCGTAAACTATTTAGTCCCCCCTGCCCGCTCCCCACCCCCCCC